AGTTAAGAAAAATAGTATCAAGTTGTCATAGGTTTTGTAACTTGCTTTTGAAAAACATCGGGCTTCTCCAGTCTGCACCAGGTATTTCTGGTACTGTCAAGCTCCATAGGAGATACCTGTGAAGTATTTTGTACCACAAACTCCAATCTGAGCTTTCATTTGTGGAATTACTAAAGTGTTTTACTTTGTTATTTTTCAATTTTTATGACTTAGGTTTTGCTGGCTTAGAAGTATGAAGTACTGAGTAAAAATACCAGAAGAACCCACCATTATGTGAGCCAGCAATAATACATGGTAGAGCTCTCTAGTGTTATTTTATGTTCTTATTTTGTTAGTAATTCAGATATCGGGAAGCATCTTCTGTGTGATTTTAATCTAACTTGTAATTCACTTCAGCAACCTAGAATTCCTCTTCCAGTTGTTTTTAATGAATATTTTAATATACTGTCTTGTGATAGTGTATGGCTTTCAGCTAAATCCTCTGTGCCTGATGTTAAATATGTATTTCTTGTGTTTATAATATAATCACAGATGTAGGTTGAGATTTTATACTCTCAACTGTGCCAAAACTAATGGAATTCTGTTGGAGGTGAGCACTGAACTCACTTGCAGTTTTTCAGAATCTGTGGCTTTAATGAATTTTAAAAAGGGAACTATCAAGTTTGATCATACTTCTAGCATTGAAAGAATTTTAAACACCTCTGAAACATAACACAAAACCTCAGCCTCCAGAAAATGTCATTTTTGCTCTTTGGAAGTTGCTGAAGCAAAATAAATTTAATTTTACTGTACAGAATTTAGTTGTTAAAGCAATTAGGATTGATATGCACACTAGCCACAGTCCCCAGGAAGCAAGTGAAAACTTAAAGCACCTTACAGCACTTCCGTTCCGGTTCCTGTCAGTATGTTCTTTATACTAGCATCTGTCTTGCACACGAAAATAATTGCATTTATGTATGTTCATTCTTTGGCAGAGCTTTTGGGATTTGCGCTTTATTTAGTGTGTTCAGGGTGCTTCACGAGATGATAGAAGCCTGACATTGCTAGGGGTCAGCATGAAGAACGATGCGTGGCTTGTAAAATACAGTATTTTAAATACAGTAAGTCTAGTTAGCAAGACAGTAGTTGTGTTTTTTCTTTAATTTTGCTGTTTTGAACTTGTACCAGAAATATGATTTGTTTGCTGTTCATAATTACTTCACAGTGGAATTCTTGTGTGATGCCTGATGGTGATCAGAGTAACTGAAATGCTCTTTCACCAGAGCTGTACTTACGTTAGCAGTTTATACAAACTAACCTCTGTGGGACAAAAATTTGAATATTAAAAGTAATCTGAAGAAGAGACTTACACATGTGTTCTCCAGGACCATATTGGTAAGACTGGTGATACTAAGTTAGACAGAAAATAGTCATAAATCTGCCTTTTTTTTTTCTTTTTTTGGAAAGCTCTGTGTGTCATGTGGAAATGATGAGGTTTCCCCATTAGATATTGGCAGTTCAAAGGAAGACAATCAGCCACAATTTAACCCTATTAAACTTTGAGTATGTCTGTAAATTTTCCTCCTTTATATAAGAATTAATGTAACAAAATAAGCTACTCTTGGGCTGAAAAGCTGGGTTACTGGATGATTCACAACTCACGGAAGATAGACTTGGTATAAAAACCTTCCCTTATTGTTATCTTGGAATTTTTAAAATTGCAAAAGAAACCTTCGGAAAGAAAACCCAAGAAAACTGTTTCTGAAATTATTCATCATAAGATTTTTGATGCCATACTTATTGGTTAGAATAAATTTTTCTGTTCCTGGTGCCTGCCTCAAGCTGAATCTTATTTTTAACCTCAGCTACACCACACCTTCATTTGAGGACTGATTTAACATTTTATCAGTGTTACTTTTTACATTTTAAATTCCTTAAGACCATTGTAGAGAGGGACACCAGAGCTCATCTGAATTTTTTTGCTTGTGTGCTTATTTCATTTGTTGCGATTGGGCAGTAGCATTTCTCCAAAACTGTTGGAGATGAGGGTGTTTGATGTCTGAAGCAGCCTTGAGACAGCAGAAACAACAGTGGGTGTAGGTTTGGAAGGGGTCACCCATTATCAGAAGTTCTTTGATTAAAGGAAGTTGTTCCGGCATTCCAGACTTGCAGCATGCCTATGCTTTTATGGATAACCAGCTAGTTATATCTGTGGGGGGTCAGGTTTTTGTGGAGTTTGTTTGAGATTTTGGTAATATCAAATTTTAGGCTGCCTGATAAGTGGTATTTCATATAATCTTTTGTATTATCTGTCATTACTTTGCCTGTACTATTTCTTGCCTGCTTCAGAGACGTGTAACTTTATGGGATATCAAAAATACTTTCTATTTAAAATTCTCCTAAAAATTTCTTAAATTCTGACGCCAGTTTTCTAAATATTGCTGTTAAAATGTGACGGCAGGAGAACTCTAATTTTCCGTAACTTTTGTTTGTTTCTTAACTGACTTAACTCAGATCTTAAATATGAAAAGTGAGCAGCTATTATCACAGGCCGCTTATGTGTCTTGGTTACTCTGTTCCAAGAATTTATATGCACTTTGCATCTTGCATGGAGTTTATACTGAAAATGTAAGCAGTGTTACTAATGGTTGCCTGTTACTAATATTTACGTCAGACTATATCTTTGCTTCTCTGGTCTTCGGTGCTTATTACTAAAGAGATTTGAAAAACTTCTTGTTCTATAAACAGATACATGACTTCTTGTTGTGCCCTTTTTCTGACTTAACCTCAAAAGATACTCTTTGTCTTAGGTAGCTAGTATTTTAAAATTTAGTGAAGGAAATGTAGCTAATCCCACCTTAAATATTTTTCATCAGTTATTAAATGTTGGTCATCAACTTCATTTTCTGATGTGTAGATTCTTTAGTGAATGTGACGTGTTTTCACTTGCTCATGATTGAGTGTTATGATTGTATCTTTAAAGTTGCATTTTACTTCTTGCCTATCCTCAGATAGTGCTTTTGACTTCTTTAGTGCTGAGTAAATGGATATTATTCATTCCCTGAAATTGTTTCGACACCTGTTAGTTGTACCATATGGACTGAGGAATGTGAGATTTCTTTCAGCTTGTCAAAGAGATAAATGTAACTTTCAAAAGGCAATTTTATTGTACCCGTGAGACTTCCTTTTTTGAGATTGGTATTTTGGTACAGTGAAGTTGCCTTCACAGAAGGGGGAATGTGGCTTTCTGAGGGTCACTTGGCTAAATTATCTGCCTTTCTCTGAATTTGAGACACTTTTTTTTTTTATATAGTGCTTTATATAAAAACCCTGAGTGCTAACTTTATGACTTTATTCTTTGAAAAGCTGTTTTTTTTAAGTTGGGCACTAACTGAAAGTTTTGCAGGCACAAGATAATTGTGCAGTACTTGCAGTGCTAGCCCCATTACTGTGCAGCTTTTGATGGGCTTTTTTTGTTGCCTGAATTTTTTCTGAATGTGGGAATGTTGAGCATTGATATAATTTATACATATGTGCAGTTAAGTATCTTGTAAAGGCAAAAAAAGAATTTTTACTGCCATAAAATGCTTTAATTTTGACTTCTTGGAAGATCTTAGTAGTAAGTGGTAGTGGCTGGACAGGAAGCAAGTGAAGAAAATTGTTTTGGTGTTGCTGTATGTAGCTGTATATTATTACTCCTTATGAAAATGAAAAGCTGTACTTACTTAGAATTGCAAGCTGGCAGAAACTTGTGTAGGAGTTTCAATTCCTGCTCTTCCAAAACAGTACTATTGATATTTAATTTTCAGCTTAATTACAATGTAAGCATCATTCCCTTCCTCCTCCAAACACAAATACTTGGGTTAAGAAAGTTGGTTGGCAGGGGGTCGGGGAGCGGCGTTGTTGGGTGTTTGGTGCATTTTTTGTCTTGGTGCTTCCAGTGTATAATGAAACTTTGATATATTTTGTAGTATTTCCTTTCAGTAAATTAAAAAAAAAAAAAGGTAAAAAGGAACTTGAAAAATTAATTGTATTGGTAATACTGTACACATGTATTTATGAATTTTATGACCTTTTAATTTGACATACTGAGGATAATGTGTCTTTTGCTTTGTGATACAGAAAGACAACGTGGTATAAAACATTGTTATATGTATTGTATTTAAGAGCTGAGTGGTTATATTTGCCAGGACCTTAAGTTCTTTAGCCTGAATCATCAGGAATGAGAAACCAGATTAAGGTATAAGGAGTATAGTGGAATGTCACTACTTGATCATGGAAATTAATTACTGTTCTCTGTCAAATATGTACCTCTGTACACCCGCATAAGGATTTTTACTCTTGTATTTAATCCTTTGTACCTATGGGAAATATTAAGAGTAGCTGATAACCAGACCTATCCAACCCTTATTTTAGGACTTTATGCCCACTTGGAATTGCAGAAGTGCAGCTCCAGACTGCTTTAGTTAGTACCTTTTTGGAACAACTCTATGCCAGACCTGTCTTCTCTGAACCTGGGAAGCCATGTTTACATAAAAATGCCTCAATTTATGAACAATAGATGGAAATAGCTTTACTTGTGTTTAACTCATTAAATTTCTTGTCAGCATGTTGTTTATCACAAGTTATTCATAGTTAGTGCTTGTAGGATCATAAGCATAGTTTGTCTTGGAATTTTTGAGAATGAAAGCATAAATTAAAACTGAGTAGTAACTTCCAGAAAAACTGCTGATTTGCAATTGCGTGTGTTAAGTGCAGAATCTCCACTGCTCTGACCGGGAAATGTAAGAGACATCAGCACTAGTTTGAACAGTACTCTTTTTCTAACATTGGCACCTGCACTTTACTAAAATGTGTGAAACGGATTTTTGAGGGTTCTGTAGTTCTTAGTTGGGGAAGAAGCACTATGTAAATGTGGAGGAAAAGTTCCGTTGTTCTGATGCCCAGGGACCTGGAGAACTGTCTTAGGTGTTTTCTTAATAATGCAGGTGTTCACTGACTTCTTTTAAATATCTTTCATTAGGTTTTCTTCTTGGATGTTTCTCCAGCTGTCTTGTGATGGAAGGAAAATACTTTTGACGTTATAATGGATTTTATGCAACGTCATAACGAAAACTGGCCGGGTAGCAGCATTTCTGTTTGAAGAGAGTAAGCCTAATTACAAATAATCATGACAACTTCTCATATGAATGGACATATCACAGAAGATTCTGACAATGAAGCAAAGAATGTGGATCTTGCATCTCTTGAGGAACCTCAAAAGCACAGAGAAATGGCTGTTGATTGCCCTGGGGATTTGGGCTCCAGGATGATGCCCATGCGGCGGAGCGCTCAGCTTGAGCGAATCCGTCAGCAGCAGGAGGACATAAGGCGCAGACGGGAAGAAGAGGGAAAGAAACAAGAACTGGACCTTACTGCTTCTATGAGGCTAAAGAAACTAGCACAAATTCCTCCTAAAACTGGAATAGATAATCCAATATTTGACACAGAAGAAGGCATTGTTTTGGAGAGTCCTCATTATGCTGTGAAGACACTAGGTAGGTAAAATGCAATGAATGGGCTAGTGGAGAAAATATTTAGTTAGTATTAATATACTTGTAGGCCACTGAAAACTTAATTTAGCTAATTCTGTATAGATTTAAAGTCTTCTGGTCCTTTGGATTTGTGGTGGTTTCCGTTTTTTTTTATTTATGTAGTGAAGCATCAGGCTATGTGCCTCAGCAAGTGGCTTTTCAAAACCAATCCATTTGGGGAACAGTTAACTACCCTCTTTAGTCTGGGGAAAACCATGCAAGTAATACCCAATTTTATTATGTTTGATGAAGCACAGACCAAAATAAGCAATGAACAAACATTTATTGTCATTTAAAATCAAAACACAAGAGTTTTAAATATTTTTAAAGAGAAGCAGGCTGATGGTTTCTTCTTATTCTGTCTCGCATTAATCAATTGTCACCTAATGTAATTTACATTTCCTCTTAAAGTATTGGCATTGATAGTGAAAATCTGCTTACCTTGGCACTCAGATGTTGATGAAAATATAATGTTAGTAATTTTTGAAGAAATAGATTCTGAAATTGTTAATTTCATAGCTGTCATTGCTTCAAATATGCTTGTGTAGAAGTTTCTAACCTTTCTTCCTCAAACATAAGTATCTGTCTAAAATGTGGTGTGTTACTGGAGTGAAAAAGAGGCACTGGGAATTTGTAGGAGTCCAGTTCAGATGTCCAAATCTATACCTGTTCTGAGATCCAGACTGCTTTAAAGAGCCTGGTTTTTTGGACTGCACTAAAGATTCTTGCTATTCTTTCCTATTGGCTGGTAGTTGAGAACACAGAGTGAAAAAAGGCTATCAAATGACTAATTTTTTTTGGCCTCATCTTTAGTATTTTTGTGTCTGAGCAACATTTCTGCTAAAGACACATCTCTGTTCTGTAACCTCTGGTAATCCTTTTTGTACAAATCCCTCTTTAGGAACATTTAGGTTGAAAGGGTCACCAGGAAGTCACCCTGTCCAACCTCC